CTTTAAGATCAGATTGGCATTATACTTAAACCTCTATTTTCCAGCTGAGAGTTTTCATACATTTGAGATTTATGTTGATCGATTAATCACCACAGACATTTGATAAATTCTGATCAATTTAAAGTGAAATCTTTCTATAAATTGCTTACTGGTTTTCAAGCTATAATTTGTCTCTGCCTTCAAAAGTCCAAAGTTCAAAAGATCATGCAATAAAAATATCACTTCTCGATGTACGGCTCTTTCCTGGCTTCCGTATGCGAATATTTTCGGAGGAGTCATCCCACTACGATGTAGTGACGTTGAAACTATAAACAGTTTCTCGAACATGTATTTCGGATGGGGAGGCGAAGATGATGTGAGGATCAGGTGCATTGTTACAATTCAAATAATGCACTACAGTCACGTAATATCATGGAGGTTGGATTAAGGAAACGGAACCTGTTTCCTGTATTGTGATGTTACCTCCTACTTTCTTTCAGACATATTCTCATGGTAGCATAATTATTTGGTAAACGTTTCAAGAAAATGTAGCTGTAAATTGTGACAATATTAAGCCTCCGTAACAAATGAGATATTGTATCATTTAACTTGGTGTTGGAAATTTCGCCCTTAACTTGGTGGTTTTGTTTTTTCATTTCAAAACATTTTATTAATACAAAGTATTAATAGGATTAGACAGCAGGCTAGCGCCTATATAAGTCTTCTCCTGGGACAACACAGGTGGTCAATTACAGTTACACTGATCAGATTCAAACACACATACATACTCCCTCTCTTTCACACTCACAAACCTACATACTTACATGTACATGTATAGCATACAGTAACTTACAGCGGATACATACATACAAACACACATATAGACATACATATACACACACCCTCACACGCACATACACACCCTCTCACCCATACACACCCTCACACACACATACAGATAAATACACAGAGAAAGCTTAGAAGGGAGATAACTCTTACTTAATTTGGTATATAATTCAAAATACAAAATAATCTGATCTGTAAAATTTAGAAATATTTTAACTGAATTAATACACTTACGGTACACTTGCTCCTCCATACTGACAGGAATATTGGGCCATGAGTGTTTTGTTGGTTTTGTTGATATTGTCAAAACCATTGTGCGACTTGCATCACCTTACACGATAGACTCTTCTACATCCGCCTCTTATCTCGATCTTTTCTTTCAACAAAACCAACATGAACCGCGTTCCGCTAAGCTGTATTTTCAATTTCTGGATAGCAACATCATCGTATCCCCAATCTATAGTGTTTACATGTCGCAGTTGATTCGATTTTCTAAGACCTGTTTTCCTTATCTCGATTGTTGTGGAAGTAGTCGTCAGTTTACGAACAAACTCGAAACAAATGGTTTCAAAAATGCAGGATGATGAAAATTATGGGAAAGCTTTAACGTTGTCAAAGTGGTCTTATTGAGAAGTATTATATTTCTTTTTTGGTATGAAACTGCACGTGTTTGATGCTCGTTAGTTTGTCAGTCGGTTCCGTTGCTGTATACCTTGACCACATTTGCGAATGTGACATCACTTTACTTACCAAGGTTTATTTGGTGATTGTTGTCGATGAAGCTCACTCTTCCTGAACACCTGGTCTTATTATCCTTTTATTTTGTCAGGAATTTCTGTGTAAATCTTTCTTTTGTTCATATTGCGCCATAGTTTTATTTTATCATGTTGCCATGTTGGTATTTTCTTGAAGTTGTTTTCTCCTAGTTTTAATGCAAACAGTTTTGCACTGGACACAAAATTTTAACAAAGGGTAATAACTCTGTAATTAAGGGATTGCATGTACTGTGTAATGCATTGAATATCTTCTTAGGATGACCAGTGTATAGACCGAGCTTTATTATCCTAGCTTAAATGAAAGAAAAGCTATGCTCTTGACAAAAAGGAATTAATGAAGGGCAATAACTCTGTAATTAAGGGGTGCATGTCCTGAATTTGTTACACTGCAAATCAAATTAGTATGATAAATGTATACACAACGTTTCATTATCCTTGTTCAACAAAGGACAACCACTCTGGAATTGGTGGGTCGATGACTTTGCATTTGGTACACGGCACATTGCCTTACCATGACCTTTGTATACCTCAAGTTTCATAATCCTTGCTTAACTGTGGGTAAAGTATGCTCCAGGCACGAAAGGGCTTGAGTAACTCTGACATATGGTACACCTATTTTAAGAAAATCTCTCACACGACATAATCACACTGCCAATAATGACATTTCATACCAATCTATACATTACTATGAAGATCCGAAGATATTATAGAATAAGCTACTACCTAAAACCTATAAACCCTAATTTATTTACACCCTATATACATCCTACAGTTCATATATGAGCTCCTTCTGGCGACCAGTCTTCAAGAACAGCCCACACAACAATGTCTGTAATTCCTCCCGTCGAAACCAGTGAGATGTTACCTCCGTTGTTCCATAAAGTGATTGAAAGTGTTCAAATCACCTGACCGAGATACATGGCACAGTTCCACAATAAATTAACAATTATAAGTTCATGTCAAGGCATAACAAGTGACTAGCCTTCCAGGAAGATCTCACACAGTATGATCGAAGATCAATGACCAAACATGGTACTTTCGCCGCAACACGCAGCTGGGCCTCCATAGTGTTCGTGTATCAATGGCGTGCAACACGACCAAATCAACATGTCAATACTCCTGCATTGTAAACCCGTATGCAGTACATCAGACAGGAATCAACACCACATTGCCTACGACGTGTCCACTCTGGTAAACACCAAGCGAATTTGACTGTTTAGGGCTTCCATACATGAAGTTCCACCGTCAGCTCATGATATGTTTATATACATGGCATGAAGTTACAATATACAAATAATACCCTAGAAGACTATATTCTATGCATTATAATAAAAGAAATAATTATATTTATTGATATGACTATAAACTATCTTATATAACCATGACAATACACTATCAATAACTCGCTACGCACGAGCTTATACACCTTTAAGTTCTGCACGAGAATAGGGGCGAAATTCAAATAGTACAACCAATACACATAAGACATACTTCAATGAAATATACAAATATTTAAACACTTCAAACCGGTATGTGACTCCTAAAATACAGCCATAGATACATTATCCATTCAATTCGCATGCATGTAAAATAATGGCGCATTCTGCCTTGATACTTTTCGTATTTCAACACGTGCGGTCCACTCACCTACAATATACTAATAAGCGGTATACCGTGATGCCGGATCCCTCGGTATGATACCACGGTGCCACCGGGGAATATCAGCATTTCATTAACAATACGCATAACTATTCCTTAATACCCACTTCTTCGTATTTTCGTCTTTAAAGTCTGTCGGAAGAACAAATTACTTCATAATGTCTCGAAATTACTACACACACGCTTGATTTGTTAATATCATTAAGTTTCCAAAAATAACTACCCAATGGAACGATGAAATAACTGCGTGATCAGTCGCGTGAGCCAAGTTGATAATCCAACTATACGCAGAAGTGAAGTCACGTCAGAGGCGAACTTAATTTTACTTTGCATTGTGCGAATGCAACTCATCCCGATTTTTTCTTTTAGAGTATGAAATTGTTGATCAATTTACAAAACTTCGATCCAGAAAGGGGTTGGTAAGTTTTAATGTATAGTAATAAAATTCCGAACCAGACAAAAACTTCGATATATCGAGAAATTCGATTCGATTCATAGAAGTTTGACAGTATAATGTATAAGGCTTTGATAAATTGTCCCTTTTAAAATCAATATTAGCAATAGAATATCTCTACTGGTAAGTGAGTAATGCTAGGGGCTTAAACTAAAGACAGAAAGGTGCATAAACTCCATGACTTAATACATTTCGTGAAATTATAAAACATGGTTTCGAAAGAGTTTATAAATGAGCAATGTTTCCTTGGTTTTTTTTAATTTCAAATATTTAAAGTTCAATGTAAAGAGACATAAAAAATCTTGATGAAATGTAAAATTTTACGTATCTTGGCAAATTTAATATTTTAAAAAGTCGATTTAATAATTTGCTCTTAGAACTATTTTGTTGTCAAGGTGTCATTAATGACCACTGAGTGGCGCCATCTTCTGCCTCCAGTATAATATAACAGTTTAATTTTATTCGTCGGTGTTCTAATGATATGCATAAGGCATTTTCTTTTATCCTTTTATCAATGTTGCTATTTACGCTTACTGCTCAAAACCTCGCTCACGTGACCCACACAATACCCAGGTAACATATAGATGTACGTGACATGCATAAGGCATTTTCTTTTATCCTTTTATCAATGTTTATAAAAAATGGCGGTTATCAAATGTCAATCTTAAGATTGTTGATTATTTTCTGTGCGTGTATCGAAGTGTATTTTACATCGAAGTGACTTGATATTTCACTTAGTACTTGTCAGCAAGTTACGCCAACGTAAATTCATTTTCCCGATTGCACAAAAAGTATAAATAATCGGCCCTTAAGTATCTTATATAGTCCTACATATATACGAATATGGTATACATTATTGTGAAGTAAAAGGAGAGCTACGGTTGTTGTCGGAAGAACTGTATGTAAGGGCATTGGATTTTGTCGGTGGTAGAGCAAAGTCCTGTGCTCTACTACACTAGCTTGTGCAGCTAAGGTGTAAGGGTCGACTCCTGAGCAACAACTCATGATATCCATGACACTAGCGTTGTGTTTGAGTCAAGATTTCGACACAAGCTTGTGTGTAGAGCATGACCCCTGATCCCCACTACACCAGATTATGTGAAGAAGCTGCCCCCCGATCTCCACGACACAAGCCTATCTGTAGAGGCTCCCTCCTAGATCGACGACAACATCAGTTCTTTCATAGGTGATCGAAGTATCTAACGATCGAACAATGTAAACTTTAAAAATATATCATTGTCATCAATAACGAAACCAGTGTATGTTACAGCATTGCAACAACGGTGTCATGCTGTCAGGATATCAAAGTACCAAGGTTTGACAGGTTTTCTGTTTTGGAAAAGATAACTCGGTCTACAATCATAACCAAATATTTCGCAATCTGGCTGGAGTAGCCGACTCAACTTATCCAAGTCCTCCATGTCCACGGTGGAATATGCTTCTAGGAGAGCCTCGGCTTTATTCCTCCTCGACACTTCACTGCTTGCTGCATCACCGATTGATTTGAAAACGACATCCCGGAACATCTCTGGAGTTATTGATTTGCTTTTCTCCTCAGTTATAGGATATTTCGAGTTTTTGCTAATGATCCCGTTCATTTGAAATCCTTTCCACATTTTACGTTGCAGATTGAAAAAATCATCATTGCAGGTAAAAGCACTATTGTTAGACATAAATAACATATCAATGCGTTCTTTGATTGTGAAATTAGTATACTGCTCTTTGAAACTATGTTCGAAACTACGAAGGACTTTTGTCTGGTTCATTTTTTCCAATAGAAATTGAGTGTCTTGTTTAACCGTTTCAATCTTTCCAATGAAGTCATATTGGTACTGACAAGGATCACAAAAGTCAAAAGCAAACTGGTAATGACCGTCTCTTTTGAGTCCTTTCTCTTCTGAATGAATTATGAATTTGATTAATTCGCTGAATCTCATATCTGGAATGCATCTTTCACTATGTCGTCGCGTAACTTTAGCTATTGAAGGGGCAACATCTCTCCAATGATAATTAGGCATAAATAATTTATCGGTATATCCTGATAATAACCGGCTGTAAGGGTCACGAGTGAACATGAACGAAAATGAGTTATTGAAGAACAATTTCCGTTGTTTGTCTTGTAATGAATTTAGTGATTGGATACCTTTCCCTCTCCGGCTGTATAGAACAGGATCGAACGGTGACGTTATATTGAAGTCGCCCCTGACGATCTGGAACCGTGAAAGATAATAAGATAACTTTATCAATATATCAAACTTCACAGATACATCAAAGATTAAAGAAACAGACACACTAGTGAATAACACTATCCAATACAAATTAAAATTTAGATATAGTAGAGCCAAACAATGAACACCTACATCACACAGCTGTTTCACCCTTATAGAACTCCTCAATGATGCCAAGGGCCTAAATTTTAAAACATATGAGGCGACTCAGAAGAAAACCGAAAACGTTTGGCAAATAGCAAAACAAAAGTCAAAACTAAATGGATAAGCGAACGTTCCTCATATTTCAATAAATTTCGAAATTTTCATGAATCTGATAATTTAAAAAAAAAATCCAGTTAATGTGCATATTCTGAACCTTGTGACTATTCGAATGAATCAAAACGTAGCATGATAATATGAATAGGCAGAACCTGGAAAAAGAATGTCATTTTCTAACTGATAGCATGGAACACTAATTGGTATTATCTACCTTAAACCGATCAAGGTATATAATATCGCATTTGCGACTGTTGGAATATACTTTTATGAATCATGTGATTGAATGTTAAACTTGTTTTCATTTCATGTCCAATTTTATGGAATCGATGTTTTAATTTTTATTCTTCCATGATCTCAAACCTGAAACTTCTAAGACTTGTTTCAAAAACTCATATGAAATGAAAACTCCTATAAGGGCCAATATATATTGGGTGATGAACTGAGTTGCTCTTGAGACAAATTTAATGAACTAGGAAGCGAATCAGAAATTGAAATATTTTACATAAACATGTACAAGTATGATGTATATAGATATGCTACAGTGGTATTTGATGTGGCGTTTCTCCAACTGTCCACGCGTGTTCAATATTTCTGTCAAGAGCAAATAATTCTTCCTGTACCAGTTTATTTGGAATGTTATTATTGAAATATAGAGATAAGCTTAAATTTTACAACATACAACCAGTATCATTATAAATTATTTTCTTTAGTGAATGAAAATATATTTCATCATTTAGCGTTGACAAAATTTATTATTAGAATTGAAGTAAGAAACTGGTACCTATATATATCTAAGATAAGTAACAGAAAATGACAAATGGTCCCTCACTCTTGTGTGATTAGGAAAAAAATAACTGATTAATAAGAAATACTTGTATATGTAATTGTCATATTTTTATGTCAATAGTTCTGTTCCTCTACTAGAGCAATGTTTAGGCCATAGGACAAAATAAGGCTATACATCTGGAAGTAGGGTAACCGGACAAGGTTACCTGCCATATTTTCTTTTGTTTTTTTTTCTACTTCCCGTTAGACTCCGCTTCGAAAATACAAGGAGTGCAGTGTGGCAGAGAAATATATTGTAACTAATGCAGGTAATCCAGACTTTCTTGCGGGATAGGCTGGGGTGGGGTGGGGAAATGAGTGTGTGATGGAGGTTGAAGGCAACAGTAAAAACATCACATAAATAGTGCATTTACTATGACAACACCAACTACGAACCGCTTTGTATAGTTGAAACGTATGTACTTACTTGAAATAGCATACTCCAGAAGGTGTATCCTGATTTTAAAAGGAAACAATAGGTCAAGTTGTGCTTTAGATCAATGTACATGTGTGGAGATAGGTCAACCATGGACTTGTTCCTACGGAACTCATTCTCGTGCGTAGAACAGACTCTTTGAATTCGCTCTTTTCTCTCCTTGTTCACATCACTGACTTTTGGGGTTACTACAGCCTGTTAGATGAGACAGAATTTCAATCAGTTGTTTAGTAAGATAAAGCATTGTCAGTTTTTTGTGGTTTTTCTTGGTATTACTGTCCTTCACTTTATTCAGTAATTCAATTTTGTACGTCACATCATGTTACGTAGTTGAAAGACTAAAGCATTCAAGGTAAAATCAATTAGAATAGAATATCAATTTATTCTTAAACTCATTGGAAAACTGGCAGAGTGTATGTGATATAACCGTAATCATTGGATTATCATACCAAGTGAATGAAATCCATTCGATCAATAATAATTCAGATAAGAAAGCACAAGTCTGATAATAATTTATACAACATGCTATCACATTCTTGATAGGAAAAAGAGAAACGTTGCAACGCAATCAGTGAACTGATAGATATTAACTTATACAAAGTAATAAATTGCATGTCTCTTGTTATCAACAAACAATATTTAAACCCAACTTAATGTAAATGGATGCTTGATTTAATAGCATAATATACTAGATGTATTTTAAAATTACATTTAAGCAACATTTTAGAAAATAAACACTCAAACTTAAAAATTATTATACCTGAGATATTTCGAAATCTTTTAGTTAGTACTTACTCGAATATGACCGCTATGAGTTAAGTCTGAAACAAAGTAAATCAAAATAAATTGTTGTTCGTAATCAAACATTTATTTAAATTGAAAGCCTTTCTGTGTTTGTATTAGAAAAAACATTAAGAAAATACCAATATCTCAACATAATCATAATCCATTCTCAAATCCAGTCAATCTAAGGGGAGCCCACCTGTTGTGTAGGTTTCTGGTGTTTGACCTTTCTGTTTACCGTTTATATTTTGTATAAGGAGTCAACTTTTCTTCGGAATTTGACGAACAGCCTATGCACTTGTCTTCATTTTCATGTGATTTCAAAAACCTGATTGATGGATGTATATTGGATTTTTATTCTTTCAAATTCGGCAATGATATCTTTTCTTTCCTGATCGAATCTATTGCAATATAGGAAAATGTGATCTATTTTCTCTTCTGTTCTATAATTCGTACAGTCTGTTGAGATATATTTAACCATTATACTGCTGTAACTTTTTAATTTTGTATTTCCTAATCTTGAGTTTGAAGTTGAGAAAGTAGAGATGTAAGTTTATTACCTGGAGGGTTTGTCAGAGTTATGCTAATCACCTATGTTTATACAGATGTGCCCATATTTCACTGAAAGGGGATGGATGCGCACGTCAGATGTGAAAGTGTGATACTTGGGCACTATAATATCTAAACCAAGTGTCAGTTCTATTGTTTTGAGAAAATAAGGGGCTCTTTTTAATGAGGGGTGTTTTTTCAATTAAATTTTAAAAATAGAATTTTGGAGAATTGATAACCTAATTAAATTTTACCCTTTCTATATTGTTGTAAGTACAGACCAATATTTTTCATATCTGGAGGTGCCAAATTAGAATAAAAAGTCACAAGCACTTTAACCGAGGGTTCCTGTTAAGCGACTTTAACATATATACAACTCTTATTAGATCAAAAATCGACTACGATTGTCAATTCATCTTCGGATGAAGTACTCGATTCGACATAAAGCACTCAGAATGTCCCTAGGGACGATTAGCAATACACTGTCAAATAGGTCATTAGCAGAATCAGGCAATTAGTCCATAAACTTTAACAAAGAGACTGATTCTCAAATATTGACCACGAGAGAAACTTTTGGACCAATCTTTCCTACCAATAAACTAATTGATAGATCCTCTATGGATGATAGTGGAATGTTTCGTCTTTCAACAAGTCATTAGGATGATGCACACCTCACCAATCAATCAACGCTTTGCACTAAAAGTGAAGTGTCGATCTTTGGGCAGGGTTAAGATAAGAGATGAATCTTTATATATACTAAATAATTTTGATTGGACTGAATATGGGAGACATCAGCATAAAAGTTCATATAATGTGTCATCCCCTTCCTTTCCTCTCTGTCCTTAATGCTCTTAGTAAAAGTTAGGTTGGAGCTTTAATTAAGCCACACGGTCGTCTTCAATATTATAGTTAAAAAATTCATCCTTCACTACCTCGTCTCTGTAATTCATTCTCCTCTCTAATCGCTACATACTATCTCCTTTCTTCACTTTTGTGAGTATGTATGTATGCCCCGGAGAACTAGATTTTTACCTGATATTTACCAGTGTCGCACACAATACACTTCTTCATATTTCATGACTGATCATTTTTAAAGCATCGAAATATTGTTATTTATAGTAAAGAGATGTAAAATTTGAATAGACATAAAACGGTATATTTGAATTTTGCAATATAGCGCTAAATTATAGATTAAAACAACACATTAATAATAAAAACAAAGGAGCAAAAATATCAAAATCATAATCAAAATGTGTTAAATGCATTGTGTTTCTATTAAACTTTCTCCAAACGATCAGTGTTCTCCACATTACAAATTAAATACCAACATACTGCTGAATAGGTCTTTTGGTACACTCTCTAGTGAACAAAAAAATATACCAACTTTCAACGTATTTTTATTAAAGTGACAGGTTCCTCATCGTGTGGTTCATTCTGTTCTGAAACGATTCAATTGTGTGATCGTCATCGCAACCTCGTGTGGTTTCAACATTGTCATTAATATTGACATAATAGTCCAGACTTCACTCTCCTTCTTTCGTAAACAGTTGTGAATGCATTCTTTTATCATTATATAAGTCCAAATGCAATAAAGTGTAACGAACTTAAGACTTTCAGCTATATCAGAATCTTGAAATAACTATGAATTTACTTTAAAAATATCTTTAGTAAAACTTGTCCTCGGTGATTTTATTTGAAATAAAATATGTAACGATATAAGCGACAATACATAATATGATAGGACATGATATATTAAAATAGTGCAATAGGTCAAAGAGAATAGAATTAATTAAAAAATTTTTTTACATATATCCCAATTGATTATGTAAAGTAATTGAGCTATTATCATGATATTAATTAGCATCGGAAATTATAGATAATAAATAATTTGATAACAGGTGATTTACAAAACATATCTTTCATACTTGTATTTTATAAGTGTCACTAACTATGCAAACAGAAAATAACAGATGCAAGTAATATCATTTGCTGAGTACCAGCAGGTAAGTTTTACAGGTAAATTTACCTGTTGGAATTGACACTGCTTTAATGGAAAATACTTTAGTCCCTATCAAAACAAGTTGTCCTCAATACTAGACGCATTTTTATTTTGTAGGCGTCACCTTACCGACGAACGTAATGTTTACATTATGTTATTGATATCTGTCATGATAATCTAAATAGCAAAAAACCCAGAGGCAAACAAATTATGAAATTTTGAAAGAATCATTGATGCATTACGTATTGCCGACTTGATGTATGCTATGGAGAGATGGAACACTCGTATGCCTTCAGGAACCGATACATACTGGCTAGAAATGTGGTCGTATTTATACTAGCCATGTTAATAAACTGATTAATTACTATTACACATTAGCTAACAGGTAACCTAGGATTTAATAATATTTGAGTTATTGACATGGTCTGACACACAAATCGCAATAGATTTGGCTGTTTACAACAAGGTAAGGTTACATTGACCTTCATGCAAACTGCTTAGATAGGCTTCAGGTAATGACTTATATAATCAGGGAACGAATTAACACTTGAACATGTGTAATAGATCAGACAACGACAGAATACCTCTGGCCACTGGTCAATACATAATTGTTCACAGTAGATGTCAGTAATAAATTAACAGTCCCTTTGTATAAAATTGATTTCAAATTAGTTATAATTTGACATCATCTATGAAAATATATAAAGTTCATAATATATAAAGTTGATACACCACTTACATATATATCATTTGATATAAATGTGTAATTACAAGAATAATTTTCTACCTTTCATTAGACTTGTATTGCTGCTTTGTAAAGCAGATATCTCTTCTTAATAACTATATCAATATAAAACGTATCTATTTTACATATAGAAATACGTTTGATAAATACCATGCATGCGTTGAGATTTAGTCTAAAAAACTGAATGGGAATACATTTCTCAGACACAGCATCACAGGAGATTTGATACAAATCCGGTTGAAAAGCCTTTCTATTATGTGTGAAATTTTATACCAAAACATATACTTACCGCGCATTCGGATCAGTCTTTCCCTGTTAACATAAATAAATAATGTGCTTAGTGCTCCTATCAATAACACGCATTTGCGAAGGATTCTAAACGAAACACGAACCATTTTCGTTTTAGATACCCCCTGTTTAATACAGGATCTGTATACCAAAAGTGGAAGCACTGAGATTGGGCGCTACGTATACGTGGATGTATACTCGTGTTACATGGTTCAGTGATTTAGCAAACAGCAACAACACCTGAAAACCAAACACCTTTAGTGTGATATATCATCTAAAGAATGTTTTTTTTTTCAAACATAAAAAAAATGAATTGTCACTTAGCGTTACATAATGTATGAATCATTTTCACTACATCAGGTCTCCCTTCTTTTACGCGTATTGAAGATAAACTATTAGAATCAGGTTTTGATATTCTGTCAGTTCGTCTAAAAACAGATAACGTTTATATATAATTCTAAACTAGTTAACTGCGGAATATCTATACGATTTTCTACCACCTACTATTGCAGAGAACTTGTTAGAAATTGAACTATTAAAATTTAATATGTAAGATTGAATTATTCAAACTTGTGCTAGACATAAGTCAGATGTTTCATCATAATGTATCTGCATTTGTTAATTTATTACTGACATCTACTGTGAACAATTATGTATTGACCATTCTGTCGTTGTCTGATCTACTACACATATGTATTATTTCATTCCCTGTTTATATAAGTCATAACATGAGGCCTATCTAAGCAGTCTGTATGAAGGTCTATTGCCATTGGTGTGTGTAAGACCATGTCCATAACTCAAATATTACTAAATCCTAGGTTACCTGTTAGCTAATGTGTAATAGTACTTAATCAGTTAATTCACATGGCTAGTATAAATACGACCACATTTCTAGCCAGTATGTATCCGTTCCTGAATGCATGTGAGATTCCATCTCTCCATAGCCTACCTACATCTCAATAAACCTACAACACCCGAACAGCGTTTGAACTTCTTCATGTCCGCTCATCACCTTACTAAACAATCTTCATTTTAAAATAACTTTGCAGACAGAAGGATCCGAGTTTTCTTCCTTTGTATATGTACCTCCCGCTCTTTGCCTTCCATTTATATATTCAAAAAATCTCCTGTCCTAAATTAGCAATCATTTCTGTCTTCTTCAGTTCTGGAGAGCGGCATTTTAACGTGATTTCAAAAATCTGATTGATGGATGTATATTGGATTCATATTCTTTCAAATTCGTCAATGAGATCTTCTCTTTCCTGATCGAATCTATTGCAATATAGAAAAAATGTTATCTATTTTCTCTTCTGTTCTACAATTCTTACAGTCAGTTGAGATATATTTATCCATTATACTGCTGTAATTTTTTAATTTTGTATTTCCTAATCTTGATATTGAAGTTGAGAAGGTAGAGATGTAAGTATATTACCTGGAGGGTTTGTTCAAAGTAGATATGGGTGGATAGTAGACGCAACAATTATTCCTTATCAACTATATGTTTAGACAGGTGTGCTATAGTGTTTAAGTGCTAATTACCTATGTTTATACAGATGTACCCATATTTCAGTGGAAGGGGTTGGATGCGCCTGTCACTTATTAGTGTACCTAAGGTGTGAGTGCTGACTTCGGAGCTCCAGGATACTAGCTGGTGCGTAGTGTTTGAGTCCAGATCTCGACACAAGCTTTTATGTAGAAGCTGTCTCCTGATTTCCAAGACACACGCTTGTCTGTAGAGGCTTCCTCCTGGATCGACGACAAAAGAAGTTCTTTCAAACGAAATTGAAGTGTCTAACAATCAAACAATGTAAACTAAAAAAAATATATTATTGTCATCAATAAAGAATACCAGTGTATGTTACAGCATGGCAACAATGACGGCATGCTGCCATGATATCAAATACCAAGGTTTGACAGGTTTTCGGTTTTGAAAAAGATAACTTGGTCTACAATCATAACCAAATTTTTCGCGATCTGGCTGGAGTAGCCGACTCAACTTATCCAAGTCCTCCATGTCCACGGTGGAATATGCTTCTAGGAGAGCCTCGGCTTTATTCCTCCTCGACACTTCAGTGCTTGCTGCATCACCGATTGATTTGAAAACGACATCCCGGAACATCTCTGGAGTTATTGATTTGCTTTTCTCCTCACTTATAGGATATTTCGAGTTTTTGCTAATTATCCCGTTCATTTGAAATCTTTTCCAAATTTTACGTTGCAGATTGAAAAAATCATTATTGCAGGTAAAATCACTATTTTTAGACAGAAATAGCATATAAATGCGTTCCTTGACTGTAAATAAGTATACTGCTCTTTGAAATCATGTTTCAAGCTACGAAGGGCTTTTGTCGGATTCATTTTTTTTCCAATAGAAATTGAGTGTCTTGTTTAACGGTTTCAATCTTTCCAATGAAGTAATATTGGTACTGACAAGGATCACAAAAGTTGAAAGCAAAATGGTAATGACTCTTTGGAGTGAATGAATTATGAATTTGATTAATTCGTTGAATGCATCATTGACTATATCATCGCGTATGCATAAATAATTTAAACCGATCAAGGTATATAATATTTTATGGCATTTACGCCTGTCGGAATATACTTTTATAGGTTATTTTGGTTGCATTTCATGTTCAATTTTATGGAATAGGTGTTATCATTTTTATCCGTCGATGATCCCAAACCTAAAACTTAAAAGACCCGTTTCAAAATCCCATATCAAATAAAAACTCCATTAAGGTCCAATATATTCTGAAAGGATAAAGAAACGCAGGGTTATGTTTATTCCGATATTTTGAAAACGCGTTCTCCAAATAAAGTGAAACTTTGTGGATTGAGTAATTAGGTCATATTACACCTTGTCATGTATCGAAAATTTAGTCACGGTACAGTGCGCAGCTCTGGTAAATGGAGGAAGGAAAAAACAAGAATCTCGTGCACCGTGTTGTTCTGGTCTCATGCAGCGTTGGTCAAGTCACTCTTTGTTAGTCTTTATATAGACCAACTGCTTCCCTAAAATTAATTGAGAATTTGATTCGT